GCTCTCATCTAAATTACCATAATCTCCATTTTTCTGAATTCCATCTTAAACAAGGCAGTTACTCTTCTGGGGATGGTGAGCAAATTACCCAATCCGCTGCCTTTTTCTTTCATGGGAAACCTTCCCTACAGCCCTCTCCAGGGAGCATCTGAGTAGCTTCCTGAAGCCACAGAACTGTAGATGTGACTGAGCACAGCAAAACCCCACAGGCTCCTTTTCATGTGTTTCACTCCAGGCCAGAAAGAAGAAAACAAGATTGAATAGAACCTGGCCATTTTTATATCCAGACTGCCAGAGCCAACGGGAGGCAGTTGCTGTTTGGGGCCCATGGAACAGAAATGCTCCTTGGGGCGGCCTGCACTTGTTCTGCTTTCGGGCTCAAAAAGTAGACAGTATTTGGAGTCTACTCAGAGAAAGAGAGAGGGCCAGTGACACCACCACTTCAAAATGTGTACAGAGAAAGGAGCAAATGTGAACACAGGTGAAACTTCTCGCACGGCTCCCTTGAACGGGCCCTTGTCTCCCTCCCTGAACCCAAGGGCTTTGGGGCATTCTAATTCTTTCCTGCTCTTTATAGAGCTCCGCCACCCTTTACTGTGAGAGCTACTTACAGCATCCCCTTGTCTTGAGATGATGATAAAATCTCTTGGTTTTAAAACAAAATCAGCAGCTCAAATCTCAAGGAGGGATGTGAGACTCACAGCTCCAGTAGCACCCATGAAAAATGCCAACATGTCTGTGGGCAAACGCAAATGTGTGATGCTTAAAGTCTCCATTGGCCATGATCTCTGCCCTTAACTTACAGAATTGTACGTTCTCTTATAAATGGCACAAGAACCAAGAGATAACCAAGTAAAGGAAATGGCATTTTATATATATCCTTTTCCTAATATATTTATTTTATTGTATAGTTCATGCAGTGAGTATGATTATAATTCTGAATGTTGAAATCCCCAAAGGTTAAAATCCCTAAGGATCAAAATTTCTAAAGCTTAAATCCCTAAAATCCCGAAGATCATAATTCCTGAAGATTAAAATCTTGAACGTTAAAATCCTGAAAACCGAATTCTAAGGTAGGGAATTTTTGGTTGTACTTAGGATGGTTGCATCATGTTAAGTGGGACTATTACCTTGTTTAACTGTCTTTATGTGGAAATTAAGTAGGGTTTAAGGAGATGCATATGGGTGCCAGGCTGACGAGGGGTGGGCTTGTGCACTTAATTGTGGATGGTAGCTTGCCTGGGTTGAAGGATACCTTGAAACCTGGTGAAGCATTATTTTGGGTGTGTCTGTGAGGGAGCTTCCAGAGATTAGTGTAAGTCTGAGTGGACTGGCTGGGCCAGATCTGCCCTCAGTGTTAGCAATCACGTTCCATCGCTGGGGCCCACAGAGAGCACATGTGGCAGGGAAATGGGTCTCTCTCTGAGAACTGGGACAGACGTTTCTTCTGCTTCCATGGACATCAGATGTTTGACTCCATAGACAATGCTTTATCACAGCATTGACTGTGAGCATGCATCTAAAAGCGTGGAAACTTTCTCAATAAAGGAAGAGAAAAGTCTTTTTGTACATCAGCATTTCTGAAAGATAAAATTTGTCAAGATCTCTTTGGGTGACTGCATGTGACTCCTCTTCCTGTTGTGCCCTATGCCAGGCGCTTTCTCGTGTCATCTGATGAAGTCCCAGGTCACTGTGGGGATACCACTGCTTTCCCTTGAGGCGACTCAAGCTGCTTAGAGGGAAGACTAGCTGTGTACTCTGGCTGCCTACGGTTTGGCCTCCTGTCTCTACTGGGTCTAGAAAGAACACTGTGTCTCCCAGTGTGAAAGAGTGAGCTTTGTAGACCTTTGAGGACAAAACTTCGCTAGGAAGTTTCTGAACTCTGGAAACTCTTATTTACATGACAACTTGGAAAGGAACAGTTGAGCTCTGCATCAGGATGCACTAGGAAATCTTTCCATAATTTGATCTGAAAAATTAGTCTCTTAGGAAATTAGCACTTGTATTATTTTAAGTTTAACTTCTAGCATTATTCTCAGAAGAGTATATAAGCTTATATGTCTGCCTTCTCTCTTTTTAAGCAAATACTTAAAAATTGGGAGATGAACTACATTAAGACGAACATATCATGGAAAAAAAATACAAGATTTCATTTGTTTAGCTTGGTTGCCTTGTCTTACCCTCTTTCCTTGTTTATAGGAGAATTTACAATTTTATAACTTAGGGCAGAGATCTCAGCCAATGGCAACTTTGAGCATCACCCATTTGTGTTTGCAGGTTTAAGTCTTGGCATTTTTCATGGGCAGTAAGGACACAATGAGTCAGGTGACACCTACTTGAGATTCATTCAAGCTCTGTGCATAGACCCAAAAGTTCATTCACATGCAGTATATTTTCTTCTCCTTGGTAGTGTAAAATGTGATTTCAGCGTGCTGCCTTTTCTCCTTGGAGTTCCACCTGTGTGCTCGCTAAACTCTTTCTGGGCCTTGGTGGGATTTCTTAGAACTCCTGCAGCTCTGGAGGTAGAAGCTCAGTGTCATGGACATCTTGATGGCTGTATCACAGTAGCTCCCTCTGAGAACGTGGCTGCCCTGCTTTGCATTCTCTGTGAGGAAACCCATTTGCCCTGTAAGGATTGCTTGGAGTGTTGTCAGGGCACATTATCCATGATAAAACCTGACAGCTCCAGGGTTAGATGTGCTGCTGAATGCTAAACAGCCCCCCCCCCATTATTTTTCCTCTTCCTCCTCTCCCTAACTAGGTGCTTAGCTGGAAATTGGTCACACCTTCTTGTAAGCTGAGCTGCAGAAAGCTGTTGTGCTAAGAGTGGAAACAGCCTCTTTCTCGCATTTTATTCATCTGGCCTGTGAGAATCTGCCCATGACATGGGCTTCCCGTGCCATGGAGTCTGGTGGATGGAGCAGAGTGTTGAGCAGGAAGTCCTTCTTACATTTGGCAACTGATTTTGAAGCTGCTCTTATGGATTTTCTGTGTTCCTGCCACCCCCCTGCAGCAGCTGAGAGGTTGGCCGGGATCCCAGGTAGACAAGCCTACCTGAGGGAATGTTCCATCTGGACCCCAAGAACTTAGCTGCTCTGTAGAAGGTGGTCAGACAGGATGAGGCAGTGTCTTAGCTTGTCTGGGGTGAGCTCTCTGGTATAACCACTCTTTCTATGAGGGCACTTGGGACTTTAGAAATGTCAGCAATTTCAATTGACGTCTGGAAATTTTTTGAAAATCTGTCTCCTCTTTGTACAGATTGAGAAATAGGTAGTAGAAATTGGAGGGATGTGCCTATGATCAAACACCTAGCTGAGACTGAACTTTTCTACCGCAGTCATTTTAGGTGTAAACTATGTCTGTATTTGGCACAAATGGTTGATTTTTCCTTAGCCGGAGGGGTGTCTTAGTCTTCTCTCCTGTCGTAATAAAGTACTACAGATTGAGTGGCTTAAACAATCAAAATCTATTTTCTCACAGTTCTAGAGGCTGGAAGTCTGAGACCAAGGTGTCAGGAGAGTTGGTCTTTCTCCTTGGCTTATAGATGGCCGTCTTCTCCCTGGGTCCTGATGTGGTCTTCCCTCTGCATTCATCTGTGTCCTCGTGGAGTGGGATGCGTCCTTATGACTTCATTGCAGCCTAATTACTTCCTTCAAGACCCTGTCTCAAATACAGTTCCATTTTAAGGTCTTGGGGTTTGGACTCCAACTTAGGAATTTGTGGGGAGGGGACAAAATTCAGCCCATTACAAGGGGCCTAAAGGGCTCAGAGCAGAGCTAGATACAAAACACATTCGTGCACTTCTATAAAATTGGAATAATTTGGTTTGACCACTCTGTGGTCCTATGTAGAAATTTGATAGAAACATTTTTAAAAAACAAAACAAAAAATCCCCAGATTTTGTGATATGAGCAAGTGTATGGACTCTGCCCAGAAGTGAACCTGGCTGTTTTTGGTATTCTGTTTTATCTCTAGCTAAGAACAGCGCCTGCCTCTTAGGCCAGCACATCATGGTACGCCTTCACCCCAAAAAATATTTACTGGGTATTTGTAAGGTTTATCATGCTATAGTGGACAAAAAAATGTATGAAAGATGATCCACTCTCAAGGAAAGTATAGGTAACTAGGTGGGATAAAGCACAAGTAATACAATTATGTGTCATTTTAGTTACCATTAGAATTGATATCCATTTTTGTATGAGGGCTTTCTTCTTTAAGAGGCATAGATGCAATTTAAACTACTTCTGGTAGAAAAGAAGACTTACTGTTTGGTGTTATCCAGGGAGGCGGGGGTGATCAAGGTTAATAGGTCCTCACTCTTTTCCCTGTATTGTGGCTTACTCTTCCAAACCACATATTTCAGTTATGTATTGCTGCATGTGGTAGGCTAAATAATGCCTTCTTCCCCAGGATATCCATATTCTGTGCCCTGGAACTTGTAAGTGTTACCTTATTTGCTAGAGAGTCTTTACAGATGTGATTGAATTAAAGATTGTGAAATGAGATTATCTTGGATGATCTGGGGTTGCCCTATATGCTATCACGTGTGTCCTTGTATAAGAGAGGCAGAGGGAGATTAGAGAGACAGAGAGGATAAGGTGATGATGTGATCACAGGGAAAGCAGAGATGGGGCATCAAGCTAAGGGAATGCCGACAATCACTGGAAGTTGGAAGAGACAAGGAATGGATTATCCCTGAGAGCCTCTGTAGGGAGTACAGTCCTGTCAACACCTTGATTTCAGCCCAGTAAAGTCGATTTCAGACTTCTGGCTTCTGGACTCTGACAGAATAAATTTCTGTTGTTGTAAGCCACTAAGTTTGTGGCAATTTGTTACAGTGGACACAGCCAACTAATATACTACATAACAAACTACCACAAAACTTAGCATTTAAAACAATGCTCAGGAATGAAGTTAGCAAAAGGGCAAACTCGGCCTCTCCAAGTATTTTCTCTCCCACAGAAATACCAAAATATAAACGGAAACTGTCATAATCTACAATGTCAGAACTCTGGAAAATAGGCAACCCCAAATGTTATGAAACCAAGAAAAAGACAACTGAAAACGGTAGGAAACTTTTCATTTTTACTTGCTTTTGTCCCAGTCCCTTCAAGAATACAACGGTTCTCTTGAGGGTGGCCTCCCACATTACAGTGTGGGACACTGGCTCCTGATTCCAGGTTGGAAGTGAAAGGGTGGGAAAGCTATTCCATGAAAATTATAACCAAAAGTGAGCGAGGGTGGCCACTATTAGACAGAGATGAAGAATATTATATTTTGATAAAAATGTTAATTTGATAGGAAGGTATAATACCTTTAAACATATAAGTACCAAATAGTAGAGTCCCAGAACATATGAAGCAAATTTTGAAAGAATAAAAGGGAGAAATGGAGATTTCTCTAATTATAGTTGGAAATGTCAGCATTCCACTTTCAATAATGAATAGATCATATAGACAGAAGATCCGTAAGATAGAGGGCTTGACCAACATTGTAAACCTATTGGTCCTAACAGACATGTATGAGGTCTGATAATTAAGTTCATGAAGTTGCCACCATGTGCTTATGTTGGCAGCCCTGTACAAACAAGTTGGTGAGATGTCATAACCTTGGTATATCAGCATCACAGCTGTGTTTGTGTCATCATGTGGCAGTGTCTTCCTGAGTGGCATTCATCATTGTTGTTGCATGTTTTTGTGTGCCATCGCAAGAATGTTGGAGCTTGAATTACAGCAATGAACAAACATTACATTTCTTGTTAAACTTGGCAAGAGTGGCAGTGAAATCAGGGACTTGTTAGCCCAAGGTTACGGGGATAGTGTTATGAAGAAAGTGTTAGTGTGCAAATGGATTAAGTGTTTTTCTGAAGGGAGAGAAAGTGTCACTGAGGAAGAGAGATCAAGACATCTACTAATGAACAGAACTGATGAAAACATTGCAAAAATTCATTGAATTGTGTGTCAAAATTGTTGGCTGATTGTGAGAAACATAGAAAACCAAGTAAACATGGATAGAAAAACAGGAAAATCTTAGCCGAAAATCTTGGCCAAAAAAACGTGTGACTCTTGCGTAATGACAAGAGCTCACACAGCACTGTCTGTGAAGGAGCTTTTAGCCAGTAAACAAATAACTGTATTGGAACACCCTCACTACTAACCTGATCTGGCCCCCAGTGCCTTTTTTCTTTACCTAAAGATAAAGGAAATCTTTTTTTTTGCAGTTTTTTTTTTGGATGGGGCAGGGTTTTGAACCCTCCACCTCTGGAATTTGGGGGTGGCACCCTACTCCTGTGAGCCACAGGTGCTGCCCTAGGAAATCTTGAAAGGAAGACATTTTGATGAAATTTAGGACACTTAGGGTAATATGTTGACAGCTTTGATAGCCATTACAGAGAAAGAGTTCGAGAATTGTTCAGAAGCATGGAATAGGAGTTGGCATCAATGCATAGCTGCCCAGGGGGAGCACTTTGAAGGTGACTATAGTGATAGTCATCAAAGAGGACTGTAGTATGAGTTTGTGAACTTAATTGTCAGACTTTGTATACAATAACCCATCCAACATTAGTACAATACACATTTTTCTCAAGTGCACATGTATTGTTTTCCAGAATAGACCAGACATTAGGCCATGAAACAAATCTCAATATCTTATACTTTGGAAGAGAAATCATACGAAATATCTTTTCCAGCTACATTGGAATGAAGCTAGAAATTTAAATTAGAAGAAACCTGAAAAATTCACAAATATGTAGAAACTAAATATCACACTCTCAAACAAGTCATGACTAGAGAAACATCACAGGAGAAATTAGAAAATATTGAGAGATGAATGAAAATGAAAATATGACCTACCAGAACTTGTGGGATATAAGAAATGAAGTGTTTAGAGGTAAATTTATAACTGTAATAACTACATTAAAAAAGAAGAAAGATCTTAAATTAGTAACCTAACTTTACACCTCAGGAACTAGGAAAAAAGAAAACTAAGACCAAAGACAGCAGAAGGAAATAAGTAATAAAGATTAGAGCAGAAAAGGAAAGAAAAAAATAGGGAGACTTAATAAAAACAAAACTTAGTTTCTGAAAGGCATCAGCAAAACTGACAAAGAAAAAGAGAGAGAGAAGATGGAAATAACTAAAACCAGAAATGAAAGTGGGGATCTACGGAAATAAAATGATTATAACAATATTATGAATAATTTTATGCCAACAAAACAGATAACCTAGATGAAATGGAAAAGGTCATAGAAAGAGACGTAAATCACCTAAACTGACTCAAGAGTAAGTAGAAAATCTCAACAGACCTAAGGAAGTAAAGAGATAGAATCAATAATTAAAAACTATAATAGTTCAGGACTAGGTGGCTTCATTGGTAAATTCTACTAAGCATTTCTGAATAATTTAACATCAATCCTCTAAAACTTTTCAAAGGTAGAAGAGAAGGGAACACTTCATAACTCATTCTGAGGTTGACATTACCCTTGTATTAAAACAGATAAAGATATCACAGGAAAGAAAATTTTAGATCAATATTCCTTATGAACATAGATGTAAACATCCTTAACAAAATATTAGCAAGCTAAATTTAATAGCACATTAAAAGGATACACACCACAACCACATGGAATTTATGACCAAGTGGAATTTATCCCAGGAATGCCAGGGTGGTCCAACATGGGAAATCAACCAGTGTACTACATCACAGTAACAGGTTGAAGGAACCACACACACACACACACACACACACACTCATCTCAATTGATGCAAAGTTCAACATCTGTTCAAAATAAAAAAATCTGTTAAAACTAGAAATAAAGAGAACTTTCCCAATATGATACAGCGCATTTATGAAAATTCTACAGCCAACCTCACATTTTCCCCCTAAGGAACAAGACGGAGTGGCAGCTTTCACTGTAAGTTATAGCCAGAACAATTACATAAAAATATAAAAGCTATCTCAGTTTGAAAGGAACAAGAGAAATTATCTCTATTTGCAGATGACATTATCCTATATCTAGAAAATTCCAAAGAATCCAGGAGAAAGCTAATGCAACACATAAACATATTTGACCACAAGACACAAGATCAACACACAGAAGTCAGGGATGTTTCTGTACACCTGGAATGAACAACCCAAAAAGGGAAAATAAGAAACAATTCTGGCTCGGCCCCTATAGCTGGCTCAGCGCCTATAGTTCACCCGGCTAAGGTGCCAGCCACGTACACCCAAGGTGGCAGGTTTGAATCCCCAGCCCGGACCCGCCAAACAACAATGACAGCTGCAACCAAAAAATAGCCTGGTGTTGTGGCAGGTGCCTGTGGTCCCAGCTACTTGGGAGGTGGAGGCAGGAGACTCACTTGAGCCCAGGAGTTGGAGGTTGCTGTGAGCTGTAATGCCACGGCACTCTACCCAGGGGGACAGCTTGAGGCTCTGTCTCAAAAAAAAAAAAAAAAAAAGAAACAATTCCATTTGCAACAGCATCTAAAATAAAGTTAACCATGGAAGGAAGTGAAAGACTTTTACAGGGAAAATTATGAAACAATGGTGAAAGAAATTAAATGAGACCTAAATAAATGAAAAGACATCCTGTGTTCCTAGATAAGGAGTGCTATGCTTTTGCTCTATTTTTTGTCTGCCTCTTTAAGTGATTGTGCTACTTCAAGAGTCTTGTCTTCAAGCTCTGACTTTTTTTTTTCTTCATTGTTAAATCTGATGATGAAACTGCTGTGTTTTGAAACTCCTTGAATGACTCAATTTTTTAAGCTCCATTATATTCTTCCTCATTTTGTCTAGATCCTTGGTTGGTGACTGTCTTTAATTTCATTAATTTCTTGAGACATGTTTTGGAATTCTTTTCGCTGGTTTTCAGTTTTCCAATTTCATTCATCTCATTTGCAATGCATATTCTGAATTACATTTCTGTCCTTTCAATAATTTCTTCATGGTTGGAATTCTCTGCAGTAGCTCCATTGTGAGCCCTTGCGGGAGTTGATCTATTCTGATTTTTCATGTTGTCATGGTTCTTTTGCTGGTTTCCCTTCCCTTTTTTTTCCTTTCTTTTCTTTACTTTTTCTCCTTTTGACTCTAGGCTATACAGTTGAGTTGACTATAAAGAACAGTAGAGAAAAAAGAAGAAAAAAAATAAGAATAAGAATAGGAAGAGGGCTCGGTGCCTGTGGCTCAAGTGGCTAAGGCGCCAGCCACATACACTTAAGGTGGCGAGTTCGAATCCAGCCTGGGCCTGCCAAACAACAATGATGGCTGCAACCAAAAAATAGCCAGGCGTTATGGCAGGTGCCTGTAGTCCCAGCTACTTGGGAGGCAGAGGCAGGAAACTCTCTTGAGCCCAGGAGTTGGAGGTTGCTGTGAGCTGTGAGGCCACAGCACTCTACCCAGGGTGACAGCTTGAGGCTCTGTCTCCAAAAAAAAAAAAAAAGAAGGCTAGGAAGAGAAGAAGATTTGACAGCATTACTAAAATCTTTGTTGCCTGCTCCCTTCGCTAACTTCCCTTCTTGCTTCTCCTCTGTTTTCCGTTTGTCCCATGCAGTCACTCTGAGCCCCCACAGCGCCGTCTCTGAGCACAGTGGTCTGAATGGTGGTGATGGCTCACGCTTTTCCCCTCCTGTCTCAGGAGAGGCTGCAGAAGGGCTGCCATTAGACTGCCATCTTTGAGAGTCTGAATTTCACATGTCTTTTGAATGGGGAGACCATTTTTCTGCATGAGATCAGAGAGAAGAGGGTCGCATACCTCACAGGCCAATGGGAAGTGGAAAGCGGTCTAGAACACACACTCAGACAACAGGCATGGAACAAAAGGGAAACAGACTTCTGTGTTCACAGGTGGGAGGGCTTAATAGTGTCAAGATGTCAGTACTACTTAAAGCGATCTATGGATTCATGTCAGTCACTATCAGAATTCCAAATAGGCTTTTTTTCCCTCCCTGGAAAAGCTGTTCCTCAAATTCATACAGAATTGGAAAGAGTCAGATTAGCTAAAACAGTCTTAAGAAAAAGAAAAATGAAGTTGGAGGATTAATATTTCCCAATATCCAGGCTTTCTATAACGC